GCGGTGGCCGGAGCGGGAGGCGATCGGGGAGCTCTGCGGCCTCGGCGCGTGTGGGATGGAGCGGCGACCCCGCTCCGTGGGCAGAAGGAAGCAGCAAGAAGGGAACGAGGCGGCTAAGCTAGACAGAGGCCTCTTGTCCAGGAGAAAGTCAGATCTTAGACGCAAAAGATGGCAGTGAATTAGCATGGACTTTTTCTGCGTTTTACAGCCAACGCTGTTTTACTCTCCACCTCCACCGCTGCTCTGGTTGCCCCTCGTGTCAGCGCCCTTCACTGGTGCTTGCAACGCTGCCGCCTCGAGAGCTGCAAGTGGCAGCAATTTATTTGCGCGTCCAACAACGTTAATTAACATGCTAAGCGGGGCCTGATCACTGAGCTCCTCGCACCCAACAGACCGGCCGCCTGACCAAACAACAACAAAAAAGAAAAGCGGTGTCAGGTTTTATTACGTTTATGTACACCCAGTGTTTGGCGTCACCGCTCTGCCACGGCACGCCGAGGCTGCGGCCAGGGCCAGCGACACGGTGACAGCAGCAAAGGGAGCTGCCCGGGACGGGCGCAGCATTCAGCCAGAACAAAACCAGGGGAAGCCGAACGTGCTGGGACGCTCCCGGGGGGCATGAAAGGCTCTCGGGTACCCCCGCGGCCCAGGGATGGAAAGGTGAGCTGTAGCCAGCAGGTTCGGCTGGAAGGGAATGGAAAAGCACAGAGACAAGAAAAAAAAAAGCCCCAAACTTTGGGAAGAAAGGGGTCGAACCAACAAGGGACGGGGCCGGGGTCAGGGACGCTGCTGAGAGGCGCGCTGCCGGAGGACAAGCGGGCGAGCGTCGCCGAGGGGCAGGAGGAACGGCTGGGCCGAGGGAGCGCGAAAAGAAATGGGGGCAGTATCTGTGCCGGAGAGGAGGGGCAGGAGGAACGGCTGGCCCAAGGGAGCGCGAAAAGAAATGGGGGCAGTATCTGTGAGGGAGAGGAGAGGGCGCACGGGGCAGAGGATGCCGCTGCGGTTCACCGTGGCCTGGGGAGGACGGACGCGCAAAGGGACCCGTGCTCGGAGAGGGAAGAGGGAGAGCAGAGCTGCTCCTCGAGCAGCCGTTGCCGGCAGAGTGACAAGTCCTGGGGCGCAGGAGACGTTTCACCCCTTCAGCCTTAGCTGCAACAGCAATACCAGGCAGGAGCTAAGCGTAACGCGAGGGGCGGACTGCAGGCGAAAAGGAGCCGAGATGTGCGCTCCGCTCCAGCTGGAAGTCCAGAAGAGCACCGCCGCTCTCACCCTGCGGCCGCAGAGCCCGGTGACGGG